TAAATGAATTAATTAAATTTATTTTTACTAGTGTATACTAATTATCTGGAATATTGAATTAATTATGACATTTTCTTGCACACCTATAACATACTTTGCTCTCCTCTCTTGCCCTTCCCTCCTCCTTCCTCTTCCTCCCTTTCCATCCTCTTCCTCTTTCCTAATAGGAAAGGGAGCACACATGGGTCCTCCCATCTCTCCTGTCATATGAGATCACAGGACTCTTTCCCTCCAGAGGATGCAGTAACCAAGCGTCATCCTAGAAGCACAGAACATCTCTCCAAAGACTCCAGTCCTGCTGGTACCTTGATCTTGGACTTCTCATCCTGGACTTCTCATCCTCTAGAACTGGGAGAAATTAATTTCTGTCTTTTACAAATTTCCCAGTCTTGAGTATTTTATTATAAAGGTATTCAACGAACATTAGTTCTCTTTCTCCCCTTCTTTGCCCTAAACTACATATTCTTCTTACCTAACAGATATACATGCAAACATACAAAATGTGAAAACATGAGAATATCCATTCTGTCCTGAGACAGGTTTCTGATTGGGACATGTCCACTGATAATTTGGCTTTAAAGAATGAGATGCTTTGCCAGTAAAGGGCATTTATAACTTTAAATCCAATATGTAACATTCATCCTAAATAGCTATATTTATTTATAGTTATAAACTTACAGTAAATATTATAAGGACACTGTTTCAAATTTATTTGGAGATAAAACAGAGAGGAGGAAGGTGTTTGACAGCAAAGAAAACATTGCTTTATAAGAAAACACCAGGTGGCAGCACCAGATGCTAAAGATGCAGCAGAGGAGCTTTTAGTTCAAACCTGGGCCCTGGGGATGCCAAAAGTGTTTACGTTCTGAGAAGATCATTTGTAGAAAAGATAGTGTTCCTTTAGAAAAATAATGCCTATTTTGCAATATAGGATGGAATGTTTAGAGACAGTGTTTTACATGTTACCAGCAGCAAAATCCTAACAAAATAACTTTAAGCATTACCTAATAAACAGTTATGAGGCAAAAGCTGTTTTGGTTTATAGTTACATTTATTTAACCCTGTCAACTTGTGTCCCAATTTACCTGGAAGGATCTAAAGTAAAGAATAAATTTGTATCAGCTTCTAGAAAAGGGCCAGATATCAAATGTAATTATTAAAATTTATTTGTTCACCCTCAAATAAGGAGTAATAATAATGACATCTATTATTATATTCCACAGTATAGCTTAGAAAATAATTTAGTAATAAACATCAAAGTTCTCATTAGATAGGTAAAATTAAAATTTAAAATAATAATCTATAGTTTTTTGTATTCTGCATCAGTAGTTCATCTGGAATTAACACACATTTTAAAATAAGCTAAATTCAGTGTTGTTCATCCAGGCTTTTCTTCTTTTCAAGGAAAGAATGGCAGCACCATGCTGCTCATTATGACATGTGGTAGGAGAGCAGCAGTCCCAGGAAAGTCACACCCTTATAAAATGCACGCTAGGGTTCTATTCCTCTTAAATACTGCTAGTATCATTCACAACTTTCTTGTGAGATCTGAAAGAGTAAGTTTGGCCTATATCTCAGATGCTAAGCAACAGGAAAATTTAAATCAATACAGTGGTTACAGAGCAAAGCAAATGCCCACCAAGATCTTGAAGGAGAGCTTGTCTTATCTGCCTTTATTTGTGTTTAGATATGATTGAAGAATAACAGAAGTATTTCTGTCAGAAGAGAACCAAGCCATTCTCTGTTGGAGGAACATTCTGAGCAAAGGGTAATGTACTCTGTCAGTAAAATGGTTGTTGTCACCCACCTAAACTGTTTTCCAAGTGCTACACTCATGATTCTGAAAGTATTTCCTTCACTTGAATTCAAGTTGAGCCCCTTGAGATAGCTGATTCTAAGAAGTCAGATCAAGAGTTCTAGAGGAAAACTGTTCAGACAAGAGAAGAAATGAAGCAGACATTGTAAAAGCAGAATTGTCAAAAGGAATGCACTTGCACCACCAAGAGCCAAAAGTCAGCCGTTGTAGGCAGATGCGATTCCGAAATGTAATTATGTAGCATAGGGCACTACTCTTTTTAGAAAGCCAGTGGATCACTGCACTAAAATCTGAAATTTACATGGTATGAAAAAGGAAAAACTTCAACTAAAAAACCCACAATACTATGAAGAAAGGGCCTTCTGCTGAAAACAGTGGAATGGGAAATAACTTCTCTAGGTTGGGGAGCTTATGATTTTTTGAATCCTAAGACTTTCTTCCATTTTAGTTAACCAAGCCTGTTTTAAATCTGGCAATGAAAACTTTTCATCTGGCAACTAAAAGGGCCCTATGTTGAATGACCTTTCTATGTCCTCCATTGATGCCTCTGCATCCCCCCAAAGCATGTCTGACAGTGTGGGTGCCAGGTGCCCACTGACAGGGGTGTTCAAGCCTGAGAGTGAGACTTGGGTGCTCTCTGACAGCACCGTGGCATCCACATGGCTCCCTGGCTCTCATCTGAATGCGCAAGTCACTAAGGGGCCATTGCTGTCCTTTTCTTCTGACATTTTCTCCTCCAGAGGACTGGGTGAGTCCAGAAGGTGTCATCTTGTGATACTGTGAACCCAATCAGCCTCTTTTAGCAGTCTTGACTGAGAGAGAACAAGCTGTGCTCAGCCTGTTGGCCCCAGACTTGGAGCACAAAATATGTATTACAACAAGCACAAGAATCCTGAGCCCACTTCTCCCTATCTCTAGCTCTCTAATGAGAACATTAGGTAAATGCATACAAACAGAAAACGGGGTTTGTGAGTCAGAATGCTAAGGAAGTTTCTGATTTGTGGCCTGAGACACAGATCGTTTTACTCTCTGATTCCAGACCCCACACATTTTGGAAGAAAAGCAATAGCCAGAAGATGGGAAAAACAGCTCATATTTATGAGACCAGCTTGAAGCCCATGCCGCACTTAAGAGTTTGGGTTTTCATAGGCAAGGAAACTAGCCATTTTTTTGTTCAATGTTCACAGGAAAACTTGTCCACCATCTGTCTCTTTGATTTTAGAATCATTGTCTTGGAATCTCCTACATCAGAAAATCCACAATCATTTCATTTAAACATGCAACTTAGGAAAAATGACTAGACCATCTCCAAAGAAATAAAATAAAATAAAATAAATTAAAAATAAAAGATGTCTTACCATCTCTCTAGTTTAATATTTTACAATAGTTTGAATAACTTTTGTTCTACTAAAACAATTTAAAGACTCAGCTCTTGAAGACTGTAGGACTCCTTACTACCAAGAACCTGTGATTTGGAGAGTTCTAACATGTTGGGCATTTAAGTAGTAAGCCATGAAGGAAAGGCTTCTCATTTCCTATTTTTCACCTTTTGGTGTTTTTTAAGGTGACACGGGAAACTGCATCCACTTCCTGGCTTAAGTACAGGACAAAGAGTATGGACTGTACCCTTTCTTGTGGGTAACCACCCTCAGAAGCATGCCTACCCAATCATAGTTGATAATGAGACTAAGAGTAAGAGCCAAATAGCTTCATAATTCAGGTTGGAGACACCTGGGATTGTGCTGGTTTAGAATGACCCATGTTCACAGTTAGGACCCTGTGATTAGCCCCACCTAGGGTTTAGAGCAGCAATAGGACTGTATTCCTCCCAGAACCATGACCATATGTCTAGTTGTTTCAGTGACTGTGCTGAGGCTAAAAAAAAGCATGTTGTATTTGTAGAGCATGTGTATTTATGAAAGTCTGAAAGTGTTCCAATGTTTAATTATTGTTAAAGCCATTTGAGGTTTTTGACACAGATTCTATTTTAGTAAGATAAACTCAGCATAACCCGGCATTGCCAAAAATGAGTTCCTAAGGTAGATGACTAAAATAAACCAACAATAAATATTGGCTGTTGGAATGAGAATTATATTTTGTTAATGTAGACAAAGCATTAATGACTCATTTTCAAATAACAATCTCTCCTAAGGGTTATTGTTATGAGGGATCAGAGAAGAAAGAAGTTCATCTCTCCTTTAGGCAGCAGGATTGAAGAAGAATATGAACCCATCAGGCAAGGATGTTTTTGTATTTACTTTGCCAAGAGAGATATAGACTCTGGAATCCAACAGGGGTCAGCTCAGAAAGGCTGCATTGAGGCAGAAATGAGATATCCCAAGGGCTGAAGCAGCTGATTCTGAGAACAGTTTTCTCTCATTCCCCTGGAGGCAGAATGCACCGCCAGGTACATCTAATGAATATTATAGAGCATGAATTACCTTATCAGTTACACTGGGTGTTGCCATGTTCTTTTGCTGCTTGGAATTGGTGGGAGCATTTAGGTCACCTTTACTTCTTAAGGTCAAATTCTGAACTTTCGGTATACTAGGTTGAGCTCGACAAACCCTCTGGTGTACCAGAAGGTGATCAGGGACAAAGGTCTGGCTACAGTTTGCACAGGGCACAAGCTGAGCTTGGCTTGAAGCCTCTTGGCTGGACTGTCCAGTTGCAAGGGTCTTGGGCTTCTGTGGGAGGGGCTGGCGGTGCTCTCTAGGGAGCCTGTCATTTTCCATTTTCCACTTTTCCAGGCATTTGGGTTCATGAATAGGAAGGGAAAGGGTGCCAAATTCCCTACCACAAATGTAGCAGATGAGAGTTCTCGGTCTGGCTGGGATACCACTAGAAGCTTTCTTGAAACCAGTAAGACTGTCAGAACTTTTGGGCTTTGTCATTCTAGGACCCTCACCCTTGGGCTTGCAGCTTCTCTGTTGAACAAGGAGACGATCTGTCAAGAACGTGCAGTCACAGGATTTACAGGGCAGCAGCTGAACCTGGGAATTCCGAAATGCTGCCTCATTGGCTGCCTGAAGACTGTAGCCCCCACTGCCACTGATGGGCTGGGGTTTAGAGGGCTCTGGTCTCCTCTGGTGCTTGGGTAACTTGCTGTTTTCAATATGCCACTTCTCCAAGCACTGGGGCTCATGAATGGCAAGTGACTGTGACCCAAATTCTCTGCCACAGATGTAGCATATGTGGAGTCCAGGCCTGCGGGACAGTATCACAGGGGGCTGAGGCTGTCCTTCAGACATCACTCTACTTGACCGTTTTGATAGTATCACTGTTCCAGGTCTATTTTGCTGAGCATTTGCCTTTATGTTTTCACTAGGATTGACAAACTGTACTTCTGGCAAAAGGTTAGAATGGGAGTCACTAGATAGTACAGGTTGGTTGATAAGGAAGGTAGGCTCTTTAGAGTAATAGAAAGTTTGGTGCAGGTTGTTGGAAATCCTCTTCTCTTTTTCTCTTTCCATGAATAAAGAAGGCTTTCTCTAGTGCCTGTCTGATTTCAGGCCAGACTCATTCTGGGCTCCTGCTTAGAATGAAGGGTGGTGAGGTCAGCTGTCCTGGGGTTCCAGGTCATTGCCAAAACCTTGTCCCAAAGACTGTGATTCAGAGCTTCACTGCAAAGCAGCATCTGGAGTGTCAGCAAGTCCTCACTGAACCTCAGCTGTCTCACAGATCTGTAGATTGAAGTGGGGAAATAAATTGAGAAGTTATTACACACACACACACACACACACACACACACACTCCTTAGATCATCACCTGTAAAGGGCGAATTTTTTCTTAATTGGCCTTGTATTCTCTTTGGCTAATCAGCCCATGTGATTTGTTCCACAAACATTAAAATAAACGTGAAAAATATCTTTATTTATGAATTGTACTGTTGCCATATTGAAAATATTCTTCTGCCCAAAGGCTGACAAGGCCAGCACACCACTGAGACAGACGGCACAAACCATGATTCTGAGTCCAGGGTGGTGAGGCTGGAGAAGAGGAAAATGTGAACTGGGAAAATTGGATTAATGAATTCAACAGATCATGTAAAAATACATCCTTCCAGAAGAGAAAGTGGATCTAAGGCCCCAGAGAATATCCCCATCTCAGAGATTCCCGGCTTTTAGTGATATGGATCCCTTTGACAGCTACGTAAGCCTATGGGCTTCTGAGGATGCTTTTGAAAATAAAAAAGTAAATTTTTGTGATACCAATTTTGTTGAAATTTGTTAAATATTTTTAGTTGTGATACACATTTTAATTGAAGTGTAGTAGTGCCACAGGCTTATAAGTGTCCATGAAGGCTAAGTGAAGAATCTTGGTGAGATACCTGCCTATCTTCCATGGAATGAAGATGCTCAGATGTTGCTTGATACAGTTTTTTGGTATAAAATTCACTTTCTTGTTTTCAATATGTATGTCTTCAAAGTACTTTTCATAAAAATTGGCCACTGTTTTTCTCAAACCAACCAGAAGAAAGGACTGATAAGATGAAAAAAATGGTGTTATGGGCAGAAGCCTAATTAGTTTTTATTTGTTTCTTTGTTTGGTACCAGGGATTGAACTCAGGACCTTGTGCTTCCAAGGCAGGCAGCAGCACCACTGGGCTAAATCCCCAGCCCCGTAATTAGTTTTTAATCACAGGGAAAGCCATGAGTAAATTTTACCAGGGGTTGACAGCCCCAAGGAACCCCCTTCTGGTTGATAGCCCCAAGGAAGATTGTTTTCAGAAGTCCCAACACCTTGTTCATTTCCTGGATGGCTCAGATCAGGGTTAGAGACTCTAATGCAGGCATGTCCAACCTGCAGCTTGCAGGCTACGTGTGACCCTGGACAGCTACAGTGGAAATGTGGCCTCACACGATCTTAAAATTTCAACATTTTCACATGAATTTTTAGTGATATTTTCTCAACTCAATTGCTAGTGCTTGAGCTGGGGCTGCGCATGTGAGGACAAAATGCTGTATACGGGAGGGTTCAGTGCATGCTGATCCCGACTCCTGTAACCACCACACTCAGTTATTTCAATTGAAACCTGCTTGTACCATGAATTACACGCTCTTGTGCAACTTTAGTGAGTAAAATTTGATCACAATAATTGTATTTCAATCTACCCATGTATGTACATGTGAAAACAGGCATTTAATGTCATTTGGCAGACATGGAAGCTTTCTTAATTTACATGAGGTCAAAGACAATTTCTTTCCACTTAGTGCACCCCAGACAAGCCAAAAGGTTGGATGCTTACTTTTACTAAAGCATCCATTTGGATGGCAGCAGAAATTGCACTTGAAGGGAGAAGAGGCTCTGCACCCCAACACAAACACAAGAACTCATAGAGAGCAAGCACAGCAGTGCTGCTGACATGGAAATGAGACACATCAGACTTACAAGGGATGAAAGGCTGAGATCTTAGCCCAGTGCCTATATTTTGGTGCCAAGAAAAGTTTGAATCTTTGCAGTCCAGAGTATCAAATCAGGTCTGGCAGAGAGAAGGAAGTTATTCTTCATTTTGACATATCCTAAAACAGTGATATTAACACATGTGGCAAAAGAATGTGTTGGCCCCAAGCAGTGGGCAACAAAGAAAGTGAAACTCAGAGAAATTTATCACTTGATCTGTACCCTCCAGAAGAGAAAGTGGATTGAGGGAACATAAGGGATAGAGTAAACATTTCACTAGGTTTTATCAGCACATGGGTAAAATAATTCCCAAGACACTATGCTTCATTGTTCTAGTTTCTTATTCACCAAGGCCCCTTTTTTTTTAAAAAAATTATTTTATTGGTACATTTTAGGTATACAATATAATGACATTCATCATTGGAAATTTACACCTTTACACAATCTCTTGAGGTTCTTATTTTTCCCCCTTCCCCTGCCCTCCCTTCAACCCCTCCATCAAAGACTTTGTTTCCTTTTTTTCATTTTCTCATATTAATTCCATTCCCTTCTTTCCTTTCCCCTACCCCTCCCACTTCCCCTTCCCCTTTGCCCTTTTCTTCCTATT